GGAGGGCATAGATATAAGGGATGTGGGGATGCGGATTGCGGAGGCGGAAGATAAAGACTGAAGGAAGAGTAGAAAAGTTAAGAACAGGCTGGAGAATAGCAGGATTGATGGACAGAAGAGAGAGAGAGAGAGAGGACCTGGAAAATATTACTATAGGACATTAGGATATCCTAGAAGAGAAGTAAAAAGGGGCCCGGGCCAGATTGACGTTGCATGGGCATGCGTGCGGAATGAGCTGTGTGCACGTACGAATGGTGATCTAGTGCCAGGCCAGCATTGGCTATCTTTCTCTTGCTTTCTTGGTAACGTATAGCGTGTGTTTTTGGAAATTAGCATCTCCTTATTAATTAGCAGTACGACAAACGATTGGATGTGCTTGCATGGGAGTGAGTGTTCGGGGCTTGTCTTTTTCTCTTCTGTTTGGATAGACAATTACTCGTGCAAATTTATTTGATTAAGCAGTAAACTCATTTTTTAATTATTTTTTATCTCATATATATATATCATATAACAAAGATGCTATTGTAATTTTTTTAAAAATTTATTTCAAATAATCTCCTATCCAAACACATGAATAATTGTTATTATTATTATTATCATTTAATTTGGCTAACAAGTACTCCCTCATTGGTTGTTGAGTTGGATGAGACTGAAATATTAAAAGCCCGTTTGAATTGTAAGTTTTTAGGAATTTTTCTAGAAATATAAAATATAGTAACATTTTTTTTTAAAATATGATGTGCGTGAGATAAGAAAATGATTAGAAAAATATGACAAAAATATTCTCAAGGAAACTTATAAAAATTTTCTACAAAAAAAAAATGCAATCCAAATTAGGCATAATTTTCTACAAGATGTAGTTAAATTGAAAGAAGTGTCAAATCCACGGTCTAATTATAAATGTAAATGTGTGCATTTATATACTAAATTAAGTGTAATTTAAATTTGTTAATGAGTACAAATACCACCTGCTTGCTAAAAAAAGGTTGGATTATTGAATTATTTCAGATAATATTTTGCTTGTATTATAAACATATTTTTCAATCCACCTTTTTATATTTCCAACTATATTTTTATTTCACATACATAACATTCAAAAAAACGTTACAATGATTATTCTAAATAATATTTTAAATAATACACTATCCAAACTGTTTGCCCTCATCTTTACACTCATCTTTTTGTTATTTGCACTTTCACTATCATTTTTATTATATAATTTTTATTTATTAGACTATATGATATAATAAATAGTGAGAGTGCAAATAATAAAATATGGAGTGTAAATAACTTTTTTTTTTTTGAAAAATTAGTAGTATTTTCTTTTACTGATATTTGGTGACTACTCCCAGCGAAGTAATGTTGTATGGACGAATGTTGTGATTGGAAGCTTGGGCGGCAGATGAGTTGGATTGGACACAGCTGCCTGGTGGACAGCTGTTGTTGTTGCGAGCGTTGGTAATGCCAGTAGAACCGGGTTGGACGCTAGTCCTCACCAAATTCGACTTGGGTCCCATCTATAGATTCATATTTAAAATTAGGTTGGCGACCTGTATCTCATTTCAGAATCAAAAGGCTAGACTTTTCGCAGGCAGCAAAATTATGCACTTCCATTTTAATTAATTTGTCATAAATGTAAAACTGATGTTGCGTGAGACTGGAGTTTAGTTGATTGAGTAACGGATGTTGTGATAGCTGTCACTTGCAAATTTACAAAAAAAAAAAAAAAAAATTTGGAGTCACCATTCAACTGGCGCGCGGCCCATGGCCATGGACGTAGAGTTAGGGGGCCACTTGCTTTGGTATTTTTACTTTTAGTGGAGCATTATTTAGTATGGTATCTTCAAATCCTCTTCTTTGTGCAGCGTCTCTCACCATTATTGCAACTAGTGCTCAATGCACATACGACATGCGTGCGATGAAAAAATATAAAATATTTATAATCATGTATTTTGAATAAATTTTTTATTGTTAAAGCAAACTTTTATCTTTTAAATATTTTTCATAAAATAATTTTATATTGATAATTACAATGTTTAGGAAAAATATATATTTAAATAATTATAAATAAAAATAATCATGAGTGATTATAAATAGTCGAAATAAGAATTTTTTACAAAAGAAAAAAAAATTCCGATAAATGTTAATTTCAAATCCCTTTCTCGGGCTTTATGTGCAACATAGATACTTGCTCATCATATCTGCCACCAGTAGCTGAGCGAGGCATGCGAAGAAAGAGAATGCCGATGATACCCTTCTTTTTAATAATAAAAAAAATTTCTGTATCGGGGAGTGAGCCGTTGTGTAATCAATCTCATTATTTGTCCATGACAAGGACCTGAGCATTATCGTGTATCTCCGGATTCTGGAAGGGGGAGACAATCCAATGATATTGTAGTTGATCTTGTCCAACAGCAGAAAATAGCAGCCTAACCTGTAGGTGATAATTGGCGGAAGAGGTTTTACTAGTTCTTGATAGTAACTGCTTTCACTAACCATAAAAAAGGTGATACTAGTACTTACCGAGTCTATTCACTGTCACGGTCAATATTCATATGTTAATGTCTCTTTAAGGTCCACCTTTACAAGAACTTTGAAATTAAGGTCAACAAATTTCATAATTAGTTAAAACTAAGGTTTGGAAGATTGCCAATTAGTACAGGTGGCAGGTCGGACGGTCCATTAGACAACCACTATCAATATACCACGTGTACTCAATTCAATCTACTCAACGTCATTTTAACTAATTCAAATTCGTTCGAATCACACATTTTGACACGTCTGTCTGCCCAATAGTACAGTATACCATATTTTTCAGCAAAACCAAGTGGATGTAAATACTCCAATTTGTTGCCGAATGTAGGATCCCTTATTTGACCTGGCCTCTGCTTGTCTGCGCTGAGCCTGCTTCTCAAGACAACAGATTGTAGTTGCTGGTAATGTATGATGATGACCACCGGGACCAAGATGTATTCTGGACAGAATTCATTAATAAATTTGAAAAGACAAAAAAGACAGAGAAAAACAAGGAATTTATGACTGGACCACCGTTCCTGTTGGGGGCGTCAGTTCATGGACCACACACGGAAGAGGGCTTTCTACATTGGGCTCAGCACGCAACCCTGAAAGGGGCGTCCAACTGTAATTAAACGTCTGGGCCGACATGTTGGGCTTGAGGACTGGACTTTCTCCAACCAACTTGCCGGAGTAGAATTGCCCATGGCCTTACTAATTTGACAGCAAATGGCCGGGCAGCATTGAAAAAGCACCCAACCGCTCTTTTCATTTTCGCCCCTCACTCATCTCTTTTTATCTCTCACTACAATATCATCTCCTATTCTTAAATTCCAATTTAAATTTCCATTCAGTAGTCAAGAAAAGTATTATGATTCCCATTTTAACTTAAAAATTGATCATCACAACTTATAATATTTGAGAGGAGCTAAATTCTATAATCAGACTTTTACGAAGAAACACATGTACTTTGCATAATATAGAATAATAGATGATATATACTTTTCTTCCTGCCTAGTTTGAGTGTAATCATTACACATAAAACTCCCGTTCTTCCTTCCAACCCTCGCGCTGGATTGATTTGCTTAATTGCTGATTCAATTTTGAAAGAGTACGACTTCAAGAATAATGAGTGTGCTTGGATAGTAAATTATTTGAAATAAATTTGTGAAAAAATACTGTAGTACTTTTTTGATGCGACGTATGTAAGATAAAAAAAAAAGTGATTGAAAATGTGTTGATAATACAAGCAAGTCGGTGTGTGTAAATAAGGTGAAAATAATAATGTATAATCCAGACACACTCACCAGATTGGCTTCTAATTAAGATTTGGATGAACTTTGTGGTTTAATCGGTCGGGCTTTATGTCGGAGGGGTGAGAGGATGGATGCTGAAGGGATGTTGGTATCTCGGGGGAATTATGTGATTTTCCTTAAATCTACCTTTTTTTTTTGTCAAAACTACTCTGTGATTTTTTTTCCTTTAAATCTACTTAGGCCTTATTTGGTAAGTAAGTTTTTTGGGTATTTGTCTAAAGTTTTATTGTAACTTACTGTAGAAGTTATAAAAATTTTTTTAGAGGGTATAAATTTTTGGATATTTTGAAGAATGTAATTTAAAATTTTTGAAAACTTTTTAAAGTTATTATAACTATTTTTAAAAATCTTGCAACAAATAAACTTAGCCAAAACTTGCCTGCGAAACAAGGCCTTAGTTGTTCGACAAACTGGAAACTCATCAACGCACATGTGATCTTGCGGTGGAAAAGCGTCCGTAACATTACGGACTGTGATCGGCAGCTGATTATCCACGCAAAATACACGCGGCATGCATGCACTATATGCTGGCAATGACATCTACACAAAGAGCTGCTTCAATTCATAGATGCTCAAAACAAGAGCAAAAATGGCGGCAGGCAAATATGTGTAGAAATGGATTTTACTTGAAGATAATATGGTTATCTTGCGGTGAACAGAATGATGAGAAACATACGCTATCTCATGGCCCCCAAAGCATGAAAAAGACCAGGATGTCCAAAATGCATGTGTAAATAACAGGATACCCAGGACAAAGGACAAAATAGTCCAAAAGAAAATCAACAAGGGGAAATGAATCGAAGGAAAATAGGACTCAAAGAAGCTTCCAGCTCGAAAAAGATAACAAAGGGGAAAAATGTGAACCAAATTACAAAATAGCCGGTACAAATCACTGTTCATCGGCCTTCCACGGTTTATGTAGTGTAGGATAGGATATTTGAGGATTGAGGTTAGGAATTGGATTTAGTACATCTGCTCTTCTCCAAAAATAAATGGGGCAAACATTAGTCAAAGTCAATCCTGACCCTCCACGACATAATCCCATGTAGACAAACAATACAAATACTAAAAAAGAAAAACAACGAAAAAGACAATTTCGCTGTACCAACACATTTTTTATAATTCAGCTTTAACAATTTGGCATTGGTGAACAGTACTCATACCAGCACATTAATCATCAAAATCAAGCAGCACTATTAGCGTAATAATCCCATTTCCAAATGAGCCTTGTAGTTTTAGGGGGAGGAAGAATACGAGGGTCTTCTCATCCAAATCAGACGCCCTTTCCCCTCTCTCACTCTCACTCCTCCACTCTCTCTCCAATTCAATTGCTTAAGCCCTTCTTCCCAGCGCTCTCTTTCCATCGACCCGTTTCCTCTTTTCCTCCCAAAAATCTCACGATCTCAGGTACACCTCAATTTTCTCAACAGATTCTTCTTCCTCTTCCCCCCCTCTCTCCTCCCCCTTTCTTTCTGCTCTGTTTGACGATAAGAATAATATATTCTTTTCCAGCAGCCTTCCTATGTTTTTTTTTTCTTTCCTTTGTTGTTTTGTGTTCATCAAACAAGAAAGCCCACTTCTTTATAGTTTTCTGCTTCTTCATTAATGCATAAGATCAAGAATCATACCACTAAGTCCGTAATTACATGTTCTAGCTAAAGTAAGGCAAACATGTAGCACATACAGTTGTCCTATGTTCAGTCATCTCTATGTATTTGCTTACATTTGGTTAGAATCGAACGCGTTCTGAAACAAGGAACAATTTGTTTCTCTATTGGTATTATTATGTGTATTAGCGTTACAAGTCTACAGAACACACAAAGATTCTTCTTTTGCCTAGAGAATTGATTGTTAAAATTCTACCTTGTATGAAGGGTGTGAGGAAATAGGAGGACAACTTTCTTTTGCAGGAGATAAATCGTGGGCCCTTCTTTATTCTTGCTAAGCTGACATCATCAGTTCTGATATAATTTTGAAAAAACAATTATAGTGGAAATTGTCGTCTTCTATTTTTTATATAGCTGAATTTGTTGCGTTATTTGCATTGTTATTGACAGAACGGAATAGTAGTGTGTTGAGGGCACAAAATATTGATTATAAGAGTGAGAAGCAGCGGAGTTTGGAATCTATGGATTCTAAGAAAGACTCTACGGAATTAAATAGAGAGCTCTACCTAGATATAGAGCCATATAGTACTGGTTTCCTGAAGGTTTCAGATCTTCATACTATATACTGGGAGCAGTCAGGGAATCCCAACGGGCATGTAAGTTGTTTTCATTAAGGGATTTCATTTCTTAGTCTCTATTTTTATCCTAATCTACTTCATATGTATTTCATTCTCCGATTTTTAATGGCTGGAATCTATGATAACAACGCTGCAGCCTGCTAATTGCTTTACGAGCCACGTTATATATGCACGGTCCCTTATTTTAGAAACTTATAGAGTAACATAAAGATTAAAGGTTATCCCCTTTTATCTTATCTTGGTCGATATCTGCTGTACATTGTGCTAATAGAAATGTGATATTTGTAATAAGGAATTTTTATCAGTTATAGCTGAAACTTTGTTGACATCCGGCCTGCTTTACCAGTCTTTTTCTTTTCGTTACAAGTTTCTCAGTTGTCTGTTTAATTTGTTGGATCGGAGTTGAAGGTTTCGACTATTAAGGGGTTATTGACATTTGGAAAAACTAGCCTGCTGGAAATAATCCCAACGGCCCCTCTGCCAAGGCAGGACTCTATCATAGTATTAGAAACTCTATCATAGTGTTGACATTTCTCCTTTTTGTTATTACATTAGGTTGGAGAGTGGTGTAGCAATAAGGGAAGGAAACTTTAATGGTAGAGTTTTATTGCACTAGAGCACCAATGAGTGAAAGCAAGCATCTCTAATTAAGGGTCTTGACACGGTATTGAGGTCTGAAAATTGGGTATGGGATTTTCTTTCTAGTCCTTTCAGGAATGTCTCAATGAGATACATAAAGGTTCCTACCAGAATTTCCAAGTTTATATCTGATGTGGACCTATACTGCAATTTAAAACTTGTAATTCTTATACTTTCTAGGGCAGAACATCACAATTCTTGATTTCGGCTCCATTTAATGTGTATATTTCTTGTACTACATCCACTGATACTCTTGGTTTGGCATTATTTGAACTAATGCAGCTTTACACCTCCTGACATTTTGTACGTTGCAGCCAGTTGTTTTTCTCCATCCTGACATTTTGTACGTTGCAGCCAGTTGTTTTTCTCCATGGAGGCCCAGGAGGTGGAACTTCACCAAATAATCGAAAATTTTTTGACCCTGCATTTTATCGGATTATTCTATTTGATCAGGTTAGTAATGTCAACTATGTGTTTCAAAACTTAGCTAAGTACAGCGTGTGTGACAACCATTTTCATGTTATAGAGCGAGGTGCAGGAAAAAGCACACCCCATGCTTGTTTAGTAGAGAATACCACCTGGGACCTGGTGAATGACATTGAAAAGCTCAGAGAGCACTTACAAATTCCAGAATGGCAGGTTTGTGACTGGTTCTGTTTGAATCATTTTGTGTTCATTGCTTTACATCTCTATCAACCATGATCTTCTAGGTATTTGGGGGTTCATGGGGGAGTACGCTTGCTCTTGCATATTGCCAGTCACACCCTGAAAAGGTGAGATGGAATTTTTTTTAAATCTTGTTTTTCTATGTAGTCTTTTTGGAGGATGTATAAACACTTCTAGAATCTGTGACAGTACATGTCATATTCTGAAATCTTTTTTTTAATTGAAGGTCACTGGCTTGGTCCTGCGGGGGATATTTTTGTTGCGCAAGAAAGAAATTGATTGGTTCTACGAGGGTGGTGCTGCTGCTATATTCCCTGATGGTATGCGTTTTAATTTGTAAATCTGACTAGTGGACTACTAATGATTGTGGAATATGTTTTGGAAAGTTGTGATTGTATAACTAGATCACATTACTTTCTTGGCAACATAAGAAGATATTATGTGGTGTAAAATCATGGAGTATTACCAAATATGGCTTAGCATGCAATGTCCTCCTAGCTTGATAATCATATATGAAAATACATGGAGTGATCAATTAGTCATAATGACTGAGGCATCTTTGTGGAGTCGTAATGTGCCAGGAGTCGCCATGACTAGATTGGAAAGAAGTGGGAGGTATAGTGTGTCCTATTAGGTTGCTCTGATCAAATTTCATCGCAGTAATAGATATGGAAGGCCTTGAATAATTTTTTAGCACAGAATTTGGCAAATATAGCAGGAGTTCTGTACAGAATCTTGCAGAGAAATCAAGTGCAAGGTGAACTTATCTGCGGTTCAGATTTTAACATTCTATTATTTCCCTGTGCCTTGAAATCTTGAATAATGATTGATTTCATTGCGTCAAGACCTTATTAGTGGCTGAGTGTGCGTTTTGCTCTGTACGCAGCTTGGGAATCCTTCAGAGATCTTATCCCGGATAATGAAAGGGGGTGCTTTATCGAGGCCTATCACAAAAGACTAAACTCTGATGATAAGGATATACAAGTAAGATCGACATTCTGGTTTATGAATCATCAGTCTTTTCTGACTTTTTCTTGTGATGCGAATAGCTGCACCAATTCATAGGAACCTTTCAATGAAAATCATTATTTTTTTGGAAGATTATCTGTGAATATGTTACACAGTCATCAACTTTTTTGAATTCATGAAGCAACCTTTCAACCAAATTATCATTATTATTTTTTTTGGAAGATATCTGTCAATTTGTTATGCTGTCATCGAATGGACAATTCAGTCCCTTCTCTTTCATTTTTGCTTTAACTCTTAGACAGCTTGCTGGTTGCTTTCTGAAACTCCATCAGTTAGAAACTCAGGCTAATAACTAGATTTAAACTGTAAGATATTGTGGCCATCAGTGTTACGCGAAATTTTCTTCCTTATGCCTTCGTTTTATGGAACTTTGTTGTCGGTGGTGTGCAGGATAGACAAAGTAACAGTAGAATCTTCCCAGAAGTAGTCCTTTTGAATGAATGATTTTATTTCAGCATGATATGCTGATTCCCTTTTTTTTTTTTTTTTAAAAATCCTTGGGTCCTTGTACATTTTCTTAGTTCCTTATCTTTTTAGAATGCAGCGGCCAAGGCATGGACCAAATGGGAAATGATGACTGCACATCTTCACCCAAATGAAGAGAACATAAAGAAAGGGGATGATGATATGTTCTCTTTGGTAAGTACGAGATAGAAAGCATGGTTTGTGAAGATGTGCATTTGGAAAATACTATCTTATGGTTGAGTTCTTTGCTTAGATTTATGATGTTCATCCAGGCATTTGCAAGGATTGAGAATCACTACTTCGTGAATAAGGGCTTCTTTCCTACGGACTCATTCCTGCTAGATAATGTTGAAAAGATAAAGCATATTAACACAGTTATTGTTCAGGTATACCATCCTTTTGTTGCATCCAGTGTCATACTTTTCATGTCTTGCACATCAAATGATGTAAATAAATAGATGACTTGTTCTTACCCAGCAAAAGAAATATGAATTCAAACAAAATGCTGTAGAGAGGTTGCAATGGTCTGGTTAATTAATCTTGTGGACTCTGGAGAACTAAGAAATCTTGCTTCAACAGTTTGGTCCATTTGACAGCCTAGATACGTCCATCTAATTTTTGGCATGATCCCCGTGGATGGGACTTGGAATGTCTATCTTCTCCTTCGAGCGATGGAAGTTTGAAATATTATTTACAGAGAGATGGAAAAGGTTCATATTCTAGTCTTGCACCAAGTATAGATGGCACTTCCAAGATTAAACTATTGGTGGGGAAACAATACAAGAAGTTTGCCTATCCCTAGTAAGTGCTAGCCTTAATCACACAAAAGATAATGAGAAGAGGGGCTCACATCCATCTTTGAGATTTTCTTCCCTGAACTGTTTGGGTATATGGTCCAAGGACTTGGCCACGGGAGCCCTGTAGCAACATCTCCGAACAGAATTTGTCTTGGGTTTTCTTGGACTTGCAAATACGAGCTTCGGGTCCGGAAAAAAGGAAGATTTGCGGAGGCCAATGGAAGAACCCAAGTACTCCCTTTTGTCCAAAACGGTAGCTGTAGAGAGACGAGACAGAATAGCTGAAGAAGAAGAAGCAGCAGCCATGGCTGATGGCTGTAAGGCTCTTCCTATCTAAAAATTCGATTTTTTTTTTCTTTTTTCTTTTTTGGTTTTTTCTTTTTTGGTTGAAAACAACTCCAGAGGCCACTGTAAAACCAAAATCTCGATGGTAATGGAGTGCTGGCGCAGAGCTGCTGGTTCGGGTGCTGCTCAGCTGCATCAAGAGTTTTACTCGTTAAGCCGAACTTTGGGCCTCCTAGTCCTGGCTCCCGGAAGGCTGAAAAGAGAACAGGCCTTTTTTGTTGGGCTGGGTCTACATGGGAAAGGTTTGGCATTTTGTCAGTTGGCGTATGTATAAAGCTAGTATTGGGCAAAATTTTGGTCCTAAAAGGGGCTGGGTTTGATGTTTTGGTCGCTGCCAGTTTTTGACGCTAACAACGGGTGAAGAGGTATAACAACAATGCACTGATTGACCAGAAGACCGAGGAAGGAATTAAGCTGATTGGCTTGCCGAATAATCGATCAAATCTTTCTCCGCAGGCCACGTACCCAACAAGAAAACAACGTGGCTGCAGATTTTTCCTTGTTCACGTCAACTTTGTAATTCTTTGGACCAAGTCCCCCCTTAGACATCTACCCGAGTTTAACGAATCTTTCTACCCCAAGGCTTTAGGATGATGAATGAGGCCATCTCTTACGTAAGATTGGTGTTCTGCTTGGCATGCAGTTCCTTTTTAGGTTTCGCCCCTCATTTTATTCCTCTTTCTGTCTTGCCTGGTGACCTGGCCTGCACAAACAGTGGTGACCTCCTTCTTCTGTAGTAGTTTCTCGCATAAATACTACCACAGGCGCTCGCTCAAAATTTAGAGCTGTAGAATGAATCCTGATGTGATTGAAATCTATTTAGATCCTGTCTCTGATAATAAGTAACTATTTAATTTCCATATCTTCTTTTTTTTAAAAAAAAAAAATACATATGCAGAGAGCAGAAGTTCATTCTGCTATATATCTTTTGTATGGATGCTGGCCTGATGATAGCAATTTAAAAAAAATAATAATCATGAGAATGTCCGTCGATAGAGAATTATCCAGGTCAACGTGTGGAGGGAACAAAAGGGCGAATTACTGGAAATAGGGGAGGACAAAAATATCCTTTGACCCGAAAATCCATCATATTTTTGGAACTAAGTAATTTTATTAAATAAATTGCATTACAAATATGGGAAGCTATGGTTTATTTACAGTATTCATTCTGGACAGGTTGTGATCTTATTTTTTTTTTAGGAATGAATTTAATTGATGTATAATATATATTTAAAAAAAGGTACTAGTTATTTCAAATTTTCATTGATTTTAAATTCTTTTAATTTTTTTTCCTTATATTTTCTTGGCATGTTTGTTTCCCAACTAGAGACATTTTTTGAGAAAAATCTTTATTAAGTCTTCGATGAATATTAAGATACAAAATTAAATTAGTATAAATTATTTTTTAAAAAAATTAAATAATGAACAGGGTGGGACAAGTGCCCGTTGATCCAACCCTATCTTAGCGGACACCGACTGATATACAAGGTGAAAAATGATCAGCAAATGGCTGAACCGCAAAATAAGGGTCAAATCAACCAAATAATAGTGTTCATCCCGTGCCTACCCTTACCTGCAAATTTTCTTTAAAATTCCTTCCTCCCTCCCCCTCCCACACCCCAACAAAAAAAAACAAATAATTCTTTAAATGCCTTTGTGGGTGAGAAATCAAGAGTTTAAACATTGCCTCCCAACAATTACTACTAATATATAGTTTCCACTAAATTCAATGAGTGCTTAGAGAAACACCTGTCTAATACGATGTATTACCAAAATATATATATATATATATATATATAGAAACATCATGCATATGCATAATGCATAGCCCCTTGTTTTTTTTTTTTTTTTTTTTGTAGGTAGCACGAAAAAGGTCAACTTTAAAAAAAAAAAAAAAAAGAGAGAATCGTACCCCGATTATGTTTTGCCAACATATGGCACGAATGATGTTTGCTTCTTAATAAACTATTCTAAAGTCGAAAGGGTAGTAAACCAATGCTGGAACTCTGAGTTAATATTTCCCAAATTCGACCCTCATACGAGTAATTTTAGCATCCTATGGCAACCCAGCCTTCCCTTCATCTAAGGACAACCAGATCAAATTACGCGTAACGTAAAGTTGGCATTAACAAAATAATAATTATAGAACGAATGAGGTTTAGAATTCCAAATTAATAAGAGATTAGGTATGTTGAATTGAAGACGTGGAAGGGATAGGGGAGCACATGGCAGAAGCTGTGAGAGGCCGCACACTGTGGTAGCGTTGGATTGAATCTGTGGACTGCTCTCTTTCTGATTCTGAGACGCCTAATCCCTAATCATCCCTAATCCCTCGCTCACTCACTCCACACACTAATAAAACTCGAAAGTCCTGTGCTGCTGCTAACTTGCTTCGACACTTCACTTTACTTACTTGCCAATACATTCACGAATTAATTACCCAAAAGCAACCGCAACTTCCACGTGTCGCCTCCTCCCTATCTATACACGTGTCTTCTCCCTTCCTGGACTCCACGCGTACCGCGTAGCGTGCCGGTGATTGTTTGTTACGCTACTACGGCATGGCGGCACCACCCCCCTCCAAGTCCAAGTCCCTTTCTTATGCACTGCACACTACCATTTTTTTTTTCCTTAAAAAAAAAAAAAAAAAAAGGATCAGAGCTGATTTACCGCCTATCTCTCGATGATCGAAACAGGTAACCTCTCAGCTAGTACAAAATATCTTACGAACTAATTCACGCTTGATCGTCCAGTGCTCTACTCTCATTGCCCCTAATTCTATTCTTCACCTCCATCAATATATTCTAAAAGTTAACCCTCGTGGAAATACTTAATGAATGAGACGCACGGATCATGTTTCTTGAACATCGTAATTATTTATCCAACTGTGGGCCTTACAGTTAGCGACTGAGTTGAACTGGGCAATTGCAGTGCATGCTGGATGTCAAGAGATGGTACATAGCCAAATAATTTATTTATATATTTACAAGAATTTAGTGAGGAGTTTTAAATCAAATATATTTCGAACTAGATTACGGATGTTAAAGCCGTTAGTTCCCTCTAGTAATCAGAGGAGGGCTCGTAAAATCTTTTATACTCTGAATTGAATTTAGGGCGGCTCGAATCCTGAAAAGTGTGTGAGGAGGGATGGGAAGGACAAAATACATATACATATACATATATGTAGAATGCATAATTTATACATATACTATATTGCCAACGATAAAAATGGATGAAATGATTGACATTTATACAAGGTACACACATCACATACTATGATTTGTTTTAGTTTCAAATGAAATGACGACGCCCTTTTTCTTCAATTCCCAATGATTAATTCTGATTGCTTTTACGGTAACGATAACATTTCTACAATGTAATTTGTTCTAATCTAGAGAGAAATGAAAGCTAGCAAGAATGAGAACCTACTAGATCAAAATGATATATTTTGACACTTCTTTTATTTTTTTTTTTTTTTTACTGTAAGTAAGATGCATCTATAACCAAAAGGGTATTTTGATACTTTTTTAAAATTTTTTTTATTGCAAGTAGGATCCGAACCCTAACCTATAGGCTGAGTGGTTGATTGATTCTGATTGAAGACGGTAGAATTCGAGCAGCAAGCAAACTGGTGTCGTTACTACTAGTATTTCTCTGGCCGAGGCAGTGGATTTCAAAACCAAATGGTCTTTTACGGTCAGTGGAAGATGAGGTCCACAACGTTCTAGAATTGGACAATGATTACACACGTGGCTGGTTGGGAAGTTAGTGAGATGGTTAGGTGTAATTTGTAGGCAGCCAACCGTCTTACAAAAGTAACTTCCAGATTGAAGCACACACCTAGAAACCGACTTCTGTTTAGAAGATTCCTCCAATTGTAAAGGTGCATTTGATTTTTATCCACCTCTTTGAATGTGGACTGAAGAAGCAACTATCAAATGCATGCCCAATTCAGCATCCGGGTGGAGCGATGGAGTCTGACCAATTACATGCTGACAATTCATACCGTCGTCGCACGAGGATAAGGATCAAAGTGTCAGTATGGCCTAGTATTCTCCTCCAATATGGATAATTCACATCAAAAGGGACTCAAAAAAGGGCAAAAAAAGGCACAAGTGACCAAAATAAAGAGTCAATCATCTGTTTAATTTAAATAAAGAGAAAAAAGAAGGTGTTGAAGCCTAAGCAAATGAAGAAGTGACAAATTGAGTGTACAGATCAGTTATACTATTTAGTTCGTAAAGTTCATTATTAATCACAATAATACGTTAGTTTCAAATGATAAGCTTGATTTTAATTAATACGTGAGATCATGCATGGTCGTCCTTCGAATATGTCTCTCCTGTTCCTTTTCCTCCACGAAAATTGAAATGAAAGCGGGGTATTTAATTAGGAAAGTCCATTGAAATTGTGGTATAGGATGCACCAATTCATGTGTTGCTTAGCTAATCCACGTACGAATTCATGACTTGCACAAATATTAATCAGTAGCACTAAAGGAAGCTCCCAACATAGCCAATTTAACATTAACATACTCGTAAAGGCAAGTATTCATGAATAATTTGTGAGTTGCTTATTACATCTACGTTTCCCAATTTAAAACACTAATGCAATATTCAATGCT